TATGTACATGCATGCACTCTCACACACGTGTATGTGCGCACACACACACACACGCACACACAGATACACACACCAGCATTCTAGGTGCCTGCTGATAAAAGATAAGTCACCTACTTGGAGGAAACCTTTGCAAAAACAAATACCTGAGAAAGGACTTGTGCCCAACATATGCAAAGAACTCTTAAAAGTCAATACCCAATTAAAAAACTGGCTTCAGGGTCATCCATAGTTCACCAAGGCTTGTGATGGCAAAATGTCTGGTGCAAGCTTATTGAAACAGTTGTGGCTGGGACAGTGCCTTCAGCAGCCAGAGTTCTGTTTTGGCACTAAGTAGCTGTGGTTTCAGGGTAGCTTCCCCACGGCATTTGTGAAGTGTTCAAAGCAGCTGGTGCTGGCGTGAAGACTGTCTGGCCTCCTGCTTGGTTGACAGTTCCCCACTCAAGGCAGCTGGGCCACCAGGGAAGGGTCTAACAGCTGTCAACTAAGGAATCAAATGGCCCCAGTGCTGTACATCACAGCTTATCTAAAGGAAAAATAAACAATAAAAGAAGTGCTCACAGTAAAGGTCTATCCGTAAAATAAACAGTAATTTATTGTACTCTGACAATATTTGTCTCCCATCCCAGAGTCCCAGGGAGAAGTGGACCCTTCTCTGTCTCAGTATTCTTGGAAGTTTTGTTCAGAGGGACCAACTTTTCTTTAATTGAAAGATTTATATTTATTTTATTTTTTAATAAAAAATTTTTTTAGGCAGAGTTCTTGCTATGCTCCCCAAGCTGGTCTCAAATCCTGAGCTCAAACTGTCACTTATATCAGCTTCCTGGGTGCTGGGCTGACAGGCCCTCAGTCTCCTTCCCTGACTGTATTTTATTATTATATCAGTGTATTTTTGTTTTTTAACTGACATATAACAATTGTTACAAGCAATTATTACAGTGTGATATATCAACACGTGTTCAATGTTCAATGAGAAAATCAGGGTAATTAGCATATCATCACCTAGAACATTTATCATTTTTTTGTGTTAGGAACGCTCAAAATCCTCTGTTCTAGCTAGTTTGAAATATACACTAAAATATTGTTGACTGTAGTCACCTCACTGTGGTATAGAACTCTATGAAACAGTATCTTTGTGCCAATTAACCAACCCTCAAAGACACCCATTTCTAATGTGGGATTTTAGACTCGGTGATCCCCAGGACAAGAAAGTATACTTTCATTTAGGAGTCGTGAAATAGGAACTGACAGAGAGCAGGAGGGGGCAAAGGGAAGACCTTCAAGAAAAACAAGAAGGAATGGAAAAATCAAAAACTTACAACTTATAAACCATTCATCTGGACATGGGATCAATAACCACCGAACCGGGCTTTATGGTGAAAGAAAACAGCTTCCTTCTAAACTCTATCCTGTCACAACAAAGAAATGAAATAATCCTTGTTGAATGAGCCTAGTCAGAAATACCTATGTAGCTGGGCACCAGTGGCTCACACCTGTAATCCTAGCTACTTGGGAAGCTGAGATCAGGAAGATCATGGTTCAAGACCAGCCCAGGCAAGTAGACTCCATCTCCAAAATAATCAGAGTTGGAGCTGTGGTTCAGTGGTAAAGCACCTGCTTTGCAAATGTGAAGATCTGAGTTCAAACTCCAGTCCCATCAAAAAAAAAAAAAAACCAAACAAAAACTATGTAACCTGTGTACTACATCCCCCAGATTTAGTATGAAAATCCTGTAAAAGAAAAGCCTGTAAGATGCAACTCTCCATTGAGAAGTCCAAACTCCCTCTCAAGTGTGTACTTTTGCTCTGTAATAAAACTTCCTTCCAGCACCTTAATTTGTCTTGTCTCTGAATATTTTCTCGGATGGTGAGAAGAACCTGGTAACACTGGGGAGAGATCTCCATCTTGTCTCTATCTCTGACACCTCCCCAGCCTCACCCGTGGCAACTTCTCAGGTTGCTCCAATTGTTGTGACCCTCAGCCAGCTTCAAGGTGGCAGAGGCACTGGGAGGCATCAGACTGAACTGGACTCTTACTGGGCTCCAAGTATGGGAAGTGAGTGGAGGGAGGAGTGGCCCAAGATTAGGACCTTAGGACAGAAAGAAAGGCTAGTCATGGAAGGTGGAGTCTTCTTCCTACTCTCAATTCTTTCCTTTCTAACTATAAAGCATTGTTTTTGTGTTAGTTTTTCAACACTGTGAGAAAATACTTGACAAAACAACTTAACAAAAAGAAAAATTTATCTTGGCTCAAGGTTTCAGAGGTATCAGTTCACAGTCCTTGGTTCCATTGATTCTGGACCCATGATGAGGCATCATGGCAGCAGAAGTGTATGGCAGACAGGCAGCAGAGAGAGACTGGGGAGGGGGGAAGCAGGACAAGATACAGCTCCAAAGGATGCCCATGTCCCCACCCTGCCCAGTAAACTACTTATTCCAGCTAGGCCCCACTTCCTAAAGTTTCTAAAACCTTTGAAGGTTTATTTTTGAAAATAGCGCCACCAACTGGTGTCCTTCAATACATAAGTCTTTTGGGAGGACACTTCATATCCAAACTGTGACATTTGAAAAGACTGGGTGAAGACTGGAACTCCTCTAAGTAAAACCCTTTGCACTGTCACACGTGGTGTTAAGATGATGATTACAAATAGACTAAAGGCTGTAGGTCGTGGCTCATACCTGTAATCCAGCATTGAGGAGGCAGGAGAATTCAGAGTTCAAGGCTAGCCTGGGCTACAGAGTGAGACCCTGCCTCAAAAAAAAAAAAAAAAAAAAAAAAAGATGAAGAGCAGGGAAAGGAATGTGATGGGGGAAGTTTAGCCCATGTTGTGTGACAAATGATTTTATATCCTAGAAAACAGGTTATCCAAATGAAATACAACCTTTTATATACATGTGTGTTTCCTGGAGAAAAGGCAGACCTCTTCATGCACACATAGTGTACAATTGTACTTTTCCAGAGGATTTGGGATCTTCTTGGTCTGGATTTGGTCTCAGTACTGCTGCAAAACCCTCCAAAGACTCATGCTCATGTGGACAGTTCTTTGAGTCTTTGATTCCATGTCTATTAAAGAGATGATTGGATCAGATGTTCTCTAAAATTTCCTCTTGCCCTAAAACCCTGCTGGTTTTGAAATTTGGTCAGAAGAGCAAACCTCATGACTTTGTGGGGCGATGGCCAGAAGGGGGCACAGCCATCCAGAGGAAGCTGTGCTCTCCAGCCTTCTTCCAGGATGCCTCTAGGCTCAGGAAAAGGGATTGTGACAAAAGGTTGTAGATAAGTGATGGTGAGAAACCGAAGGCAGATGCCAGGCTGGATAGGTATCTGGTCAAAACAGAACCTCTGGAATGTGATGTGACCAGCTACAGTCCCCTCTCCCAGGTCAGATGGGGCAAATTTCCCTGCTCCTTAAGAAACATTTCCAGATCATTTTCCCAAATTGATGAGTGAGCCCAGCAAATGGTGATACATGCCTGTAATTGCAGCACTTGGGAGGCAGAGACTGGAGGATCATGAGTTCGAGGCCAGCCTGGGCTACACAGTGAGACCAAAACCCAAAAACCAAATAGATGGGCCAATGTTTGTTTAGTTGCTTGGTTGGTTGATCGACTCCCTCTTTCATTTTAACAAGTAGATCATATGACGATCAGTTTTTAAACTACTATTTTCTCCATTTTCATTAGTCTGAGAATCACCAACAATACTGACTAAAACTATTTCTACTCTACTCATGTCTTACAGCCTTTCGGGTGTATTTAGTGTGATTCGGATCACCAGACACTGATTGCCTGTGAGAAGGGCAAGGCATGAGGCTGGCTTCCAAGCTTAGCAGTACACAGCTTCATATAATCTGATTCCACGCCTGGAGGGTAAGGTGCAGGGGCCTGAGAAGCACCCCCATTTCTGCCTCTGAGAGTTCCCAGAGATTAGGGTGAGCTGTAAATTGGAATGTCCAGTTTGGGGTTAGCACGGCCATAGGAATGTCCAGAGGCCAAAGAGAAAATGTGCTGGTGGCCTTGGAGTTACAATGGCATGGTGCCTGAGAGAAGTCTGGGTGGAGGGGGGAATTGGGAGTTATACTTGCCACTCCCAGGGGGAGGTGGGTGGCCTAGGCAAATGCAGTGCAGTAAGAGATGAGAAAAGGACTGAGGCTGGAGCCCCAGGGAGGAAGCCACCCTTAAAGTCACAGTGTCTGCCCAAGAAGAGTTAACAGCCCCCTTATGCACAGAGAACCCCAGGACTTTCTCTTGCTTCAGAGGCCCAGGAAATCTACAGAGAGGGCTTTCCCAGCCCCCAGGACCTGCCCCGCAGTGTGACCCTCCAAACCAGGCACTTTGGGACCTTTTACACAATGTCTACCCCCTGGCAGGGCTTGTTAATCCCGGGCCTGACATGGGGTTAAAAACTTTAGGGGTCACGGAACTGAGGGTAGAGGCTTGGCGGAGCAGAGCTACAGGTTTCATGTGGCTGGTGGAAAGACAGCTGCTTGCTTTCACGTTTAGCATGTTCCCACGTACAGGAGAGGTGAAGTGTAATCTGAGCGAGGGGGATGAAAGTTTCCGAACTCTCATTCCTCATTATTTACTTAGAGTCCACAGAGTGCAGCTGGATTCTGCACCGGCTCCGATGCTTGCAAATACAGACACGGAAGGGTTAAATTCTGGAGCTCTTCGAGGCGGGGGTAGAGAGGATCCACAGGAAAAGCGCACCCCCCGCCCACGCGGAAACCTGGGCGCAATGAGCCTGGAAGGGGACGTCCCTCAGGACGCGCGGCGTCCCCTCCCCCAGCAGAGCCCCTCTTTTCCAGGGAGTGGCCACTCTGGAATTAAAACAAAGGCGGCTAAAGGCCGGGCTACGTGCGGTGGCCGCCTCCAGGGAAGGGCCAGGGGTGGGTTCGGGGAGGGGTTTTCCGCCCGACTCGGGTTAAAAGTGCGTGGAGAGCGCAGAGCCGCTACTCCAGCGCGCGCCGTCCTGAACTTGAGCTCGGGCCTCGCACGGTCGAACTCTGCTTGCAGCTGTGCACGGGAACGGGGCGCAGCGGAGAGCCCAGTCCCAGCCCGGCCACAGCGGACCCCGGATGCCAAGTAAGAGCCCTTCCCTTGCCACCGGCTCCCGCAGGGGCTCGCCAAAAGCGGGAAAGCGGGAGAGCCCCACGCTCTACTCCCCGCAGAATTCCTGGGATTCCTGGGACCCGAGCGGCCGCACACAGCTCTGACTTCTTGCTTAGGAACGCAGCGAGGACGTGCAGGCTGACGGGTGCCCCTCGGACGTGGGGACCTGCTCAACCCCAACTTGCCAGGGCCCGGGTGGGCGCCGAGGGACGCGCCCCGGGAGCAGGGATCCGGGGCTTCTTGCACGCCTGGAGAGCCGGTCCCGGGCAGGACATAGCCAATCGAAGCTAGGACACGCTGGGTGCCTTGGAGTGGGCAGCGTGGGCGCTGGAGGGGCATTGGGCCCCTTTGTGGGAGGTGGCCACAGTTCTGGCTATTGAGATGTGGAGTGCGCGGGGGACAGAGGGAACGCGGGCTTGCCCCGAAGGGCTGTGGCTTTGGGGGTGTGAGCGCCTGGGGCTGAGACGGTGTGGGGGTGGGGACCAGTGGTGCAGCGCCCAACGTCTGTAGAGTGCACAGCCTGCAAATGGGACTTCTTCCCAGGTCTGCATGCCAGGTATTCACGCCCGAAGTAGGAAAAGAACCCGTCTGTGCGAGCGTCCGCTTGTAGAGTGACTCCCAGTCTGGTGTGGTTGGTTAGTCCTGCCGTCCCCAATGTCTACAACTTTAACACAGGCGCCCCTCCTCCCCGTCCCGCACAAAATCTGGGGTGTAACTGCCTGGCTGAGGGGGTCTGTTTAGTCCCTGCTGGAATAGAAACGTCTGAAAGAAACTAGCCAAATTCCTTCTCCATCACCTCCCATCCTGCCGCAACAAAGACCACCACCGACAGTGCTGGGTGGAGGGAGAGCAGAACATGAGGGGGTAGAGACTGAGTTATTCAATGTGCTTAGTAAACCTTGAGTCCTGATGAGAGGGAAAAATATACACGACAGTCAGAAATGTGCCCCAAGTTAGCTTTACTCCCCCAAGCCCTGGAACTATGAAAATCCTATAATCAGTTGGATCTTTATTTTTTCCAGAGGAGGAAAAGTGCTGAAGGTCAAGGGTACTTGGTTAGTCAAATGTGGGAAATGGAAACCAGCCCTCCCTCTTACATCACCATTAGCCAGTCTGTCTTAGAGCCCCCAAAGTCCATTTTGCCATCTTTGGGGGAATCAGTTATTTATGGTGTCTTGTGTGCTTAGTGGGCAGCATAGGACTTCATCTGCTCAGTTCCTAGATGAACGGCTGACTCATGGGACAGATTTTGCCTTGGCCAGAGTGTGCCTTTAATTCTTGCCTTTCTGGTTCCTAGTGCTTGGGATGACATCAAACCCATGACAAAATGCATGCATCCCATGTGTCTTTGAGATTGGGCCTCAGTGGTCTCTCCATGGATAGCATTTACTAGTCCCTGTGACTTTGTGTTAAAAAGTAACTTGATCTAAAGTCACCTAGCCATTAAAGGGCAAAGCTGAATATGAAACTCCTATCTGAAGACAAAGCATCCACTTGCCCTTCCATGTTGCCTGGCCTTTCCACGCTTCCCAAAAGATTCTGCAAGGATGCTCCTTCCTAACTGGGCTCCTGGCCTGTCCTTTCCTGGCTCTTCCCAAGCCTTTGCCCTCTGAACCTCTGGATAACCAATTTAGGGAATGGATTGTGAAGGAAATACTTCTTGTGCTCTGGGTGTGACAATCAGGAAGCTGCCTAGTGTCCTAGAAAACTCTTCACTGTTTATTTAATCTTTGATGCTTTTATTACACCAAAGAAAATGAACAGAATTTACATATTATCCAGTCTATATTTAAACTTTTCCCTGCTTTCCCCAAAATGTGTTTTTGTAGTTGATCTGAGTTCTGTGTTTTGCATAAGTGGTTACATTCCTCTTGTATGTTATTGTTCTCAAGCCACTTTTCTATGTCATTTGATTCTTACAAAGTTGCACTGAGGAGTGAGATGAGTGTGCTCATTTTCTGCTAAGGAAACTTGAAAGTAAATACGGTATCCTGTTGGCACAGCTGACACCTGGTGAGTCAGTGACTCCTTGAAGAACACACCTTGGCTTTGTCTTCAGTGAGAAAAAGTTTATTACTTCCTCTGCATCTGCTATAAGAAATCCCTTTGGACCCAACCTTTAGGAAATGACCTTTGATGCTTGAAAGAATAAGCTGAAAAGTCAGGAAGCTAGGGTTTACTTCCCAGCTTATTTTTAAAAGCAGTTTGCCCAGAGGGGCATGTAGTGGACAGAAGAGCCAGGCAGATATCCATGCAGTACCCAGTGGATCGTCTGTCTGCAGCTTTGTCTGGGTTGAGGCAAGTCTTCAGAAGCTTCTTGTCCTAGGAATTTTGCTCTTGCTCGGCTGCCCTAGAATATGGCACATGCTTGGCAGAAAAGACAATCTGGCCAGGTATGTTGGCTTCATTTCCCACAGCCTGTGTCAGAGAAGTCTCTAGGTACCAGGACCCTACATTTTCAGAATAGCCAGTTGCTTGACAATGATAAAGCCTGATGGCGATGGCTTAGATAGCTGTCCAGAGCTTTAAAAAAATATCTTGCACTCCCCTTGGCAGAAAAAATTTGACTAGACAGGTTATATTTGAGGAATAAGGATGTTAGAGCAAGAACTTAGAGATAATGAGACTGTAGTTAGGATGAAAGGAAGTTATTCCCATCCAAGGTTTTGTTTTGTTTTGTTTTTCTGATTGGGACAAGGTGTCACCATGTAATCCTGCCTGGCCTTGAACTTGTGATCCTCCTGCCTCAGCCTCCTGAGAGCTGGAATTATAGGTGTGTACCACTTCACTCAGCTTTCATCTGAGATTTGTGATCCCTTCACTTGATTGCTTTTAGTATTATATTTAATTACAGTTGACTCTCTGTGGACTCTGATTTGTAGATTCAACCAACTAGGGATTGAAAAAAAAATTTTTAATTCTGTAAAGTTCCAAAAAACAAACCTTCAATTTTCTGTACACTGAGTACTATGCTGAATCCATGAGAATGAAGTGATGTGTAGGTATTGTATTGAGTATTATAAGTAATCTAGAGATGATTAAAAATATGTGGGAGCTCAGGTGTAGGCTGTATGCAAAAACTGTGCTATCTTATACAAGAGTCTTGCACAGTTGTGGATTTTGGTATCTGAGGGGTCTCTCAGTTGTCTGGTACTGAGAGACAACTGTGTAATACCACGTGCAAATGGCACCACGTTCTCTATAGTTTTTCATTGCCAGTAGTCACATCAGATGAGCACCTGCAACTGCTCCTGTTGTTACCAATGAGCTAGTCATGGTCCTTTTGCTCTACTTAAATAGAAATCGTGAGTAGGTGAGGAACAGCTCTTCTGGTGTTGGTAACCCTAAGCCTTTGAGAGCAGAAAGCATATATGGGCTGGGCCGACAGGCTCAGAGCCTTATAGACAACTAGAGAATTAGGGCTCTAGCTGAGAAGCTGGAGGCTTATAGCTCGGTGCTCAGGTTAGAGGCTTTTTGATAAGAATCAAAACTAGGCAAAGAAAAGACCATTTGGGAGAAGCCTTTTATTAGACTTAATGTTGCAACACCAGGCAGCAACACAGGCGGCGTCTCCTAGCTCAAAGGCCTAGTTATACAGCGGGGAGAGTGTGTGTGGTACGGACAATGCATGCAAATGAAGGATTGGATCTGCACCAGTCACAGCACAGTTTTCACTTTTATCAATCACGGGCACTGCATAGGACTAAGACCTAGTCCTGCATTGCACCAGTCACTGGCTTCTTGCCCAGTTACTGAGGAGGTGTTCCCCTTCCCATCTTGAGCGAGAATAGCTGCAGCGACACCTGAAGTTCACTGAGGCTTGTCTTGCCTGGAGTGCTGCCATCCAGGCACAGTTGTCTGGAGTGGTTGTGACTGGAGCAATGCCTCTCGGAGTGGAATTCATGGCTGGTTGCACTGTTCCTTGCAGTTGGAGTGCTGTCACAATGAGTGTAATGTGTCCAAAACAAGCTAGGCTGTAGCAGCCTGGTTGATTTCCAGAGAAGATATTGCTTGTATGATGCTTCTCCATGCAAGGATGTCAGGCATAAGAGAAGGGTCTAGCCCATGCCATTCAAAGGTCTAGCAGTTTCACTCGTTCACAGAAAAAGGAAGCTTACTTCCAATAAAGACTTAAAGTTCAACACAAAACTAACCCTCTTTACAGCATTTAACAGTACTTAACAGCATTTAGCAAGGCCTAACAGTGCTTAGCCCCTGTCCCAGTGCCCTAGGGAGAGCTGGGTCCCTGTATCTGTCTCACTATGGACGTGCTGTGGCAACAACTCCCATCTGTCATCCTTGTATTGCCAACATAATGTTAAGAGTGTCTTTTGTAAGAAGAATGCCATTTCCCTTCAAAATGTACAGTTTATGAGAAGGTAACTTATGTTACTGACTTGTGACAACTTAATCTGTAGTTTCTTTATAATGTCTTTGAACTCCTTCTGTCCTCAGCTTTGTCCTGATACATTGTTTGTGGATCCAGATAAGAACAGCATAGCTTTTCAGAGAGTCACATGACTTGAAAGATCTAATGAAAGAGTTTTCCAGACATCTTTGTAAAATTTCTCAAAACTGAATACAAATATAAAATAGAGTGACGTGCATTGGGGAGTAGAGATTGAGACAAGGTCTCACTCATCCTGTAGTCCAGGTTGACAGTAAAGTTCTTTTTCTTATTTTTTGCAGCACTAGGATTTTGAACTCAGGGCCTCCCACGTGCTAGGCAAGTGCTCTACCATTTGAGCCATGCCCCAGTTCTTTTTTCTCTTTAGTTACTTTTCAGGTAGTGTCTTGTATTTTTGCTGGGCTGTCCTCAGACCATGGTCCTTCTACCTAGGCCTCCCTCGTAGCTGAGATGACAGGCACACACCACCACACCAGGCTAATTGATTGAGATGGAGTCTGGATAACTTTTTTGCCTGGCTGGCCTTGAACTGCAATCCTCCTGATCTCTACCTCCCAGGTAGCTG